TTTGGTACAGGGGATTGAACTCGGGTCCTTGCGCTTGCAAGGCAGGCCACCGAACCACTGAGCTAAATCCCCGGCCCTACCCAACAGTTCTTGAAGTTACATTCCTTCCTTCCAAGAGCACAAAAATTAGCTTCCTGTAGTGGAGGCTAATCACTTCAGAACAAGAGAAGTTACGGTGTCATTTTTAACAGGTGATTGGCAAATGAGTGACGTAGGACAGAGAGCTGGGGAGGAAAGATGTGGGGAAGCCCTGGGCGGGGCTGAGGGCTCAGCAGACTGGAGATGTGCCCGGCTGAAGGGGCCTGCAGCAGGACGGTGTGGGGAGCGCAGGGCCGTAGCTGCAATATCAATGGTGTGACTATAATGAACCCTTAGCAGGTAAGACTTCCCCCAAACACGAGGTCAAGTGAACTAGCTCTTTCCAGAAAGAGCAGCCAGGACTGGTCCATCACCAGAGAGCCGTCCAGGATTTGGGAACATTTGTCTTCCCATAGCTAAAGCAAGAAGACTCTGGAGGTCCAAGATGATTACGTCTTTGTTCTACCACAGAGGTATTCAAAAATCCTTCCTTTGGAAAAAATTCATTGTATTGGCACACTTTTGGTACACATGCCATACATATTCATCATAGGACATTTCACCTGCAGATAACATATCTCAATTCTTCTTTATTCCCCACCTCCCCACTGCAACCCATCTTTCCTTCTTAATACAAAAGCTTTGTTTCCATTCTTTCCTTTGCTTTTCTGTTTTTCTTTTCCCTTCTTCCTTCCCTTCCCTCTTTTGCTTCCTTCCCATTTGAACATTTTCTTCCTATTTCCCAGTGTCTGTCATCCATTTTAGTCCTTATTTACCTCTTTTGGCTTCTCACACAAGAGAAACAATGGGTTATTGAAACATGTGTGTCCCACTGAGAATACTTTAAGGGACAGAAGTCACCTCTCTAGGTGACTTCCAGTGGGTAGTGCCCTCTCAGGCACCGTGATATCGGGCAGGGGTAGAGGTGGGAAGGAAGGGAGACTTCCCAGACGAACTTCTGTTGGTGAGACTTCACCTTCTGTTACCGTTTTCCTATAAGTGACTCCTTTATTTTTGAAATAAAGAGTAGAGGGATCAATCCCTCCTCTAAGACGCCACCAATTTTGTTTCTGTTGTCATACAAGGGACTCTCTCCTTCTTCGGCCTGGAGCTGTGCTCTGTTAGCGCCTCCTAGTCCCTGTGGGACAGTGAGTTCTTGTGGGGCAATGCGGGGTCGGTTTTCTCTAGCCATTGGCAGAGGCTTGGTGAAAGCATGGTGAAAAACATGAATGAAAGAAGAAAATACAAAGCCACATCTGTAAATGATGCCTACGGTCATACGGAAGAAGGTAAAGGAGTTGAGGAAGACAGTGGGGGAGGGAGGAGAGGAGACTTGTTCTGACTGATACGATGTCCTGAAGTTAAAGATACAATTTCCTTTATTTTTACAAAAAAGTAATAATGCCGGCACCCCCGCATTACAGAAATTGTTATTTATTGTGATTCTCTGTTCCCAAATAACCTCCTGCGTGTACTAACAAAACGTTGGTCTAATAGTTACAATGAGCTTGTGTTTCTTTTTCTCAGATTAAAAAATAATGAGATTAGTGAAAAGGATTAGATCAAAGAGCACACTTGGCCCCCAGTCCGCACCCTCAGGGACCGGCTTGGTAACTCGGCCACTCTCAGGGCGGGAGGGGTGACACAGCCGTCCTGTCACCGGTCCTGAGCGCGGCCCACGTGCAGACACGCTGTTGATGGTTCAGTGTCACAAAGCTAGAAGAGGAAAACATCAGGGCGGCTCAAGTTTGGAACTGTTCGCTTCCCTAACGCTCCCCTAGGCGTTGTATGGAGGGGAAAGCGCGTTCCCGTAGACCGAGGTCCACCGTGGCGGCCAGCTCTCCTCTCTGCCCTGTTTCTGCAAGTTGGACGCACACTGCGTGGGTCTTGGAGAGGAAGGAAGACAGGCAGGCGACGCGAGCACGGTAGAGCCTTACTGGGCAGCACGCGTGCCCGGGGCTCGCCGTGGCCCTGGCCATGTCCCATGAAAGACCACAGGCTGGCGCCGTCCCCGGGCTCCGAGCAGCCTCTCCGGATGGG